GTCATAGTCATTACATAGTCTGCCTGTCTTGGGAACAAGCAAACATCAACTAAAAGTTGGGAGAAAAGTCAGAATTCCTTTTTACGTATACTGGGTCAGTGACTCCAAAAACACTAAACCCCCCAAAATTACCCTGACAGCTAGGGCCTGATTTACTCTCTGTGCTGCCCCAATGCCAGGTTCCTCAATGCGCCCCCTCTATGCAGGCTGCATACAAGTGATCCCGGCGACATTGCCGAGATCACTTGTACAAAACAAGAGGTGGCTTCCCCTCTGTACATTTAGCCCTGCTTGTCCAAAGCAGGGCTAAATGTAGAAAACAACTACCCACCCGGCGCCTGGAACTGCATGTAACGGGCATCAGGAGATAGGAATTCCACACCCCTGCTGCCCCTCTACTCCCTGCTGCCCCTAGGCCGGGCCTCGGTTGGCCTTATGGGAAATACGGCCCTGCTGACAGCCAGGCAACTAGCATTTTTGTAAAAAGAAATAATGAGCAACAGCAGCCTCCATCTTTGATGATGTCCGTACTTTAAAATGACTCTTTACTTTGTCCATGCAGGTTAAAATATGAGGATAATTAAGAATCTTAGTTAACAATTAAGCATATATAAGGAAAATATCAGGATAATTCAAACCCCTTCTTTGCACAGTAGCATATATTATTCTTCGTCCCTCGAACTTTTGCCAGGGGACCGGGGAAAGAAAGTTTTGTAAAGGGTCCAAAACAACTTGTCTGAGCTTACACAGGGGTATGGACCCCAACCCCACCTCTATGTGACAGTGCTGGGCCAACCATGAGGCACCAACACTGTTTCTGAATGGAGAAGGGCAGTCACATCCTCATGCCTGAAAATGCCGGCCATATCACTTTTCCCCCGCGGTTGTTGGTAGTGAGAGGGGAGTAAGGAAAGGTAAGTATATGATGCTGGTAAGGTGGGAGCATTTGTTCTACATGAGCAAAGGAAAGGGACACCTTGAAAAAAGACAGGTTTACTCCTTTAATACATTTTCCTATAATTTTAAATGTTCTGATGAGTATAAGTTGCATCGATATATTGTTTCAGCCACTTACAAGGGCAGAAAATGCTTAGCTTTACAGTAGTTCTTGTTTTTTTGCTACCTGGGTTAGCCACTTAAATGATCACGTTCCCTCAATCTTCCAATTACAGGAAAAAATATAATTCAGTATTTTAATTTAAAGAAACAAAATAGAGATTTTTACTTTTCTTTTTCATTTTTAAATGGTTTGAATTCAGGTGTAAAAAGAAAAAAATTATTATATCCTGTAGATATATATACATATACACACATATATATAAATATATATACACACACTATATATAGTGTGTGTGTTTGTGTATTTGGAATGCAGCTGATAAGTCAGTGTTGCAGGAAGGAAAGAGTCACATTCTAGAATCCCTTATATAAGAGTAAAGGACTCCGCCACCACGAATGACGGATGTCATTAACGAGCTAGCTGCCATGTCTGATCCTGAATGACAGGCTAATAGGGGTCCCCGGGGCATATATACACTCCAGCACATATCCTCCCTGCCATTCTTCTTAAAGCGTGGCCAAACCACCAGGGAACGAGTACCAGGAACTTAAAAAGTCTGTAGAAAAACAGCCCTGCTCTCCTGGACTTTTTCCCCAGGTCCCCTCCAATTTATTGAAGTCCCAGGGCCTAGCGGTGCAAGCCTTTCTAAAGAAGCCCTGTTTGATAATGGCTGTGCAATTGGTTCAATTAGGGAAAAAGGAGGAGAGAGGGGAATTTTCGTAATGAAATTGTCTTGCAAAGGAAAACTCTGCAAATTGGGGGATTATGTCAGCAGACCACCTGTAGGGCATTCTTAGTCTACAGCTTAGGCATTACTGCCTGCAGCCTGGCTAACAATGTAGGCAAGGCTAATAGGAGCAGCTCTCTCCTTCCCTCTCTCTCTCCTCTTTTCCCTCTGGTGTCCACTAACTGTTACAAGTAGAGCTAAAAATGAAATAAAAGATGTAAAAAAATAAAAATCCCACATGTCTTTAACTGAAGCCCATTTAAGGCACTGCGGTGGTCAATTGGTGTTCGAAAAGAAAATACGGGGGACAGGGAGCTGGGAACAGACTTTAGACTATAGATCACGTATGGAGTACAGAAAAGATCAAAGAATGGCAGGCTGAAAGAGCCAAGTTCCCTACAGATTAACCCCATTCACTCGGCCCCTCTTTAAGGGGGGACTCGTGCTGTTCCACTAGACAGACAGGTAAAAAGTTCACCCTCTTGCAAAAAGCATATTGCAACTAATTCAGCACCCCCTTCCACTCAATAAATGGAATGTGACTTGACAGACACATAATGTACTCCGCGCTGACAAAAGGAGCATGTTTTATAGGCACAAGTTAAGTAGAGAAGGTTACTATCATGTTAACCTGTTAAATTAGTCCAGTAAATGGAACAAGCTGACATCTACGCTGAAAAAAAATATTGTTTACAATGTAGCTAGAATTAAAAGGATTTTTTGGGGGGGGATATTGACGTGACCCTGTTTAAAAATCAGCTAATATATAGTTTATTTCCTCAGAAAATACACGTTGATCAGCTGTTACCATATCTTAAAAATGAGTCACATTTCAGCATCATGTAGCCTACAGCAGTCAAAACTTCTGATTAGTAGCAAGAAGTTTCTAAATAAATAACACTGCACATTGCATTATAAAAGTAAATAAGTTAGTAAGTAAGTAAAGTATAAAAGTAAGATCGTTTGCTTAGTAAATCAATATTATTTCGGTTTGTTTAATGAAACAGTGCAAGATGTACTGATAAACAATGCAGAAAAATAATAACCTGTTTGCCATAAGTTACTACACGTTCCCTTATACATGAACCTGTTTAACACCTTCGTGGCTACCAGACCCCTTTGCTTTGTAAATATATATCTCATTACAAGAAATAAACCCC